CACTGGCTTTGAGTGTAGATGAGACAGCTTTAAAAAAACATCCCTTGTTGCAGGGGAAAAAGAGAACTGGGGATTCTTGGGCATCTTAGTAAATACTGCTGCTGCTCTCTCTCCTCCCACCTATGATTATGATGAATAGGGCTCAAAAATTTCTTTAACACCCACTTACCAGGACAACCTTCTGGCCTGGTGAGAGAGATTTCTACTGCTTCAGCCCTCAAGGCCCTACTCCAAGCCACACCTATTTAGCTATCACATCTTCAACCCCCTACCAGTAATTTTGCCCCAATAAATTCTTCCTTGCTAAATAGAATCAAGGGGTTGGATTCAAACTATTGGAGACTGAGTGATGGGGATTCACAAGTCTAGTTAATGATGTTTTGGTACAGTTCATTACAGGCACATATGAGAGTTTCCCTTGACACAATCCCAGAAAGAAGCTTTTGTTTGGGATATAAGTTAAAACAGCTTCCAGATGGCTTCTTTTGTTGCAGCTTCTTATTGTAAATGTAGGCCACTTTTTCCCTGTTTTATTTAAACCTAAGAGTACTTCAGCTATTCTGTGTGTGAAGAGGAAGCCATGCTGGATGCAGGAAGGGGAGCAGTTGAAACATGGTGGGAGACAGAATCTTAAACCAGTGTAAAATGGTATAAAAGTGAGGAGAATAAGTGAAGCTTGCTAGTCTCATCAAATACGGATTTGCTGCAGTAGAGTTGATCCATCTTCAAAGGCTAGGTATCGTGGTCTGTAGGGCTGTTGTGGTGGAATGCTTTTCTCAGCTGATTTAGGATCCTGCTTTGCAGTTGAAGTTTTATCAAACACAGTGTTTTTCAGATTGTAGAAAGCGTTTGCATGTTACATGATTGAACATATAGCTATGATTCATTTGAGCTATTAGGACTTGATTAATGGTGAGCATCTGAGCATACATCCAGTGCCTTCTGTATTTCTGCTATTAATTTTATTTTAATCCATGGACCCTTCCCCTGTCCTGCTGCAGGAATTAAATTTCCTGTGCTAGGAATGGCATTGTAAGACAGGGTGTAGGAGCTGTCAGTTTCTGTAGGGAAGGCAGCAAATATGGGGATGAAGGAGCAGAGCTGGAGACCATGAGCCATCTCATGCATAGTCAGTACTTTTGTTGCTATTTTATATACTCCCCTCTTTATGAGAGTGTTCAGGTAATATAACAAAAGCTTCCTCTAGCTCTAGAGTAAGACACAGGTTTTCTGCTTTTCCAGTACTCACTCACCTTCACCGTAACTTCTCAGAAATCATTACACTCATGGCCAATTGGGTCTTCTCCTGATGTCTGTTTCTTTGGTCTATATTACCCCAGACTTAAACTTTTCTACTAGTTCTGCACTTAGCAACTGTAATGCATTAAACATGTTACTGCATAATATTATGAATTATTACATATTACTATATATAGTATGTAGCTGGAACCATTTCAACCCTAGGCTTGTTGGACCTCCAGGTTCCTCCTCTGCCATATTGGCGTGACAAGGCAAGAGAGTTGCCTTTTTAGAACATCACTTTATATGTTATCACTTGTCAAACTACTTGGACCCAATCTGCCTTTGTTGGCGGCATGTTGCAGGCTATGGTTTATTTTCCTGCAAAAATAAAAATGCCCATGCAGAATTGCATAGTTCACTTTAGGCACTGAGGAAGCATTGGTCAAACAGGAAAAGCATTTGGTCCAGTAGTAAATCCAGCTATGTGATCTCCTGAATTGAGCTGGTCAACTTCCCAGAAATTTTGTAGCTATACATGTTCAGGTTGAATCTGCACATACATCCCACTGCTCTCTCTCATCCTCAGCACAGTGGGGATCCATTTGCTCATGAGTGGATGATTCTTTCACCATCATGAATATCACTTTAAATATGTTTCACAATTTATGAGTAAAAACATTTATCCATATAATCCCCTGGTTTGTTTTTTCTGTAAGCACTGTCCTGAGACCCTTGTGACGTATCTGCTGTCTTGCTTGCCAGGGATGGGACGGTGTTGGGAAGTTCATAATAACTTTATGCTGATAGATTATATCAGATATGTATAGCCTGTCTTGATTGTTAGAAATTGTCTTGTCCTGGCATCAATGAGAGGAAAATTGTTTTACTGGGGTTTGGAGGGAGGCTTTTAAATATATATTGGATATTCTTGAAAGCAGCTGTGACTATTGATTGCAAGAAATCAGGATAGTAGCTGAATGTTTTCAGGAGTGACTAATTCCTTACAAGACACAGGGCAAGTCTATAATAATATGTATCCTAATTTTCTATCTGTCCTTGCAGCCCAGGGGCTTCTCTAGAAGTGAAAAGAAACAGTTTGTTTTCCATTGTGAGCTAAGTTTTACAGCATGATCTGTGCTTTTAGTGAAATATGGTACTTGAAGCCATGGGTTGTCATATGCAGTGTACTCCTGGTGGAATTCTGCGCCACTGCGTATGCACAGAATTCATTTCCCCCCCCAGATCTCTTTGCTTTCCCGCAGAAAATGCCTTTCTGATGGGGAAGCAAAGGGAAGCCATAAGAGCAGTCATGCGACCCTCCCCACCAGTATGTTTTGGGTGCCTAGGGCAGCCAGCAGAGAGGTAAATCACTGTAGGGCAGGGGGCGGGACTGGAGAAGACCTGGCTGGTGGCTCCTACCCTGCGCTGGGTTCAGCTTTTAGTCCCGTATGGGCTGGGGAGGACGGGACTTCCTCTTCCCCTGCACGGCATCCAGGGCAGATTTCTCCCTAGGCTGCAAGAAGCTCTGCAAACTCCCTACTTATTGCTCCTCAGCTGCAGGGGGGAGGGATCATGATACGAGGAGCTGCTCCTCCATCCGCCCAACACCCATGCATCCAGACCCCCCTATACACAGACCCTCCTGCCGAGCCTCACCCCCCCCCATCCAGACCACCCCCGCCAAGAACCACTCCCTCTGCACCACCCCGAAGAGCCACCCGCACCTGGATCCCCACTCTACGGCGCCTCAACCAGCTGAATCTGGATCCCCAACCCACTGAGCCTCACTCCCCCAGCATCTGGACCCCCCCCCCACTGAACCCTCGCACCCCCCGACCCCCCTGCCAAACTCTATCCCCACGCACACACAGACTCTTCCCTGCTGAGCCCCAATCACCTTCACCTGGACCCCCCCCGCAGAGTCCCATTACCGTTGCACCCAGAACCCCCCAACAAGCCCCTGTGCATCCAGCTCACTGCTCGCACCCAGAATCCCCACACAGAATCCTCTCAACCCACACCTGGATCCCCCCACAATAAGCCCCTCCACACTTGGATCCTGCTGAGCCTGCCTGCCCACATCTGGTGCACCTGGCCGGGAGGAGTAGGGCCCTGAGGTGTTTCTAGGGCAGACTCGGTCCTTGCACTATGTCAGGGTTGGGTGCAGCCTCACTGCTGAGCCATGTCCCGGGGGGTGGGGAGGAGCTGCAGAGTGATCTCCCACCTCTGTGCAGCCAGCGGCCTGTACTTCCCAGTGCCATGCTGGAGCCTCCACATTTATTTGACAAAATTTGCAGAATTTTAAAATATTGTGCGCAGAATTTTTTTTTTTTGGTGCAGAATGCCCTCAGGAGTAAAGCCAAAGCCCCTTCTACAAGTTGTCAGTTATTGATATTTCTCTCTTGCATTGGAATAGTAAACTTTTTGAAATCCATAATGCATGATTTGGCTTTTAATAATGGAACGCAAACAGACGATTAAACAGCTGGCATCTGGCTTTAAATATATAATCACAGTTAATTGAATCCTTGCTATTTTATTTAATCATTAGTAACTACATTATAAGGTCTGGAGATGATTAGTGGCAACAGTAACAACATCTGTCTTTAATATGACATTTGGAATTCGTGTCACATCTTTCATATTTGAGAAGATGTATTTTTTCTGACTTGGAGTACTTGTTGATATAATTCCAATTACAAAGTAATGAAGTCCTGATTAGAATGTGTGAAAAGTAAATGTTTCATTTACGTTAGACCTTCTTCATACCATTCTGTTGCCCCCAAACCTTCCGAATATTCTAAACAGGTGAAGGTAGAAGGAGGGTAGTTTATAACAGGGGATAGTAACAGGGCTGCCCAGAGGCCGGGGGCAAGTGGGGCAATTTGCCCTGGACCCCGCAGGGGCCCCGTGAGCCCTGGCCCGGTGGCAGTCCGGGTCTTCGGCGGCCCCGCGAGCCCTGGCCCAGCGGTGGTCCGGGTCTTGGGCGGCATTTCGGTGGCGGGAGGCCCTTCAGTGCTGCCGAAGACGCAGAGCAACTGAAGGGCCCCCTGCCGCCGAAATGCCGCCGAAGACCCGGACCGCCGCCGGGTGAGTACAAGCGCCGCAGCTCCCCCGTTTTGCCCCAGGCCCCCTGAATCCTCTGGGCGGCCCTGGATAGTAATGATGGCATAGGTGTAAGTGGATTATCAGTCAAGGACTTTGCACAATCACTGAATTAACTTTACATTTTCAGAAGATTATATTAGAATGTAGTGTCAACTTTTTTTAACAGCAGATCATGCTGTTCACTAGTAAGGACCAAATAGGTACACTTACATTTAATATTTCTTGTCTTAAATTAGTATATTATAACCGAGCTGCTGTATTAAAAATATGGGGGAATAATAATGTGGAAACTTTTCTGCTGAATAATATTGATTTTTTTCTGGAGATCTAAATTATTTGTAATTTTTAAGATTTAAAATATAGCACGATGAGGCCTGACCTAATGGTTCCTTTGGACACTATTGAAATATAGGATCATAATAAACACAGTGAGTGAGATCAGCTATTGTGGTTGCCACTCTTGATTATTCCTTCACTTCTCCTTTTTAAATTTTTTTGCATGAAGGTCATACTAATGAATTATAGTACAGGGACTTTAAAAATAAGGAAGTATGAAGTACTACAAATACACTTGATATAATGTTGTGAAGCTTAATTAAATGAGCAGTGAGACTTCTCTTTCTTTATGGTGTTCTGTTTCTCTTTAACAGTTAACTGGGAGACAGTGTGGAGAGCCAACACCACAAAGAAGTTTAAGGTCCACACTAACATGAACAGGAATGTTGGGCTGCTGCGAATCTTCCCGGGAATTAATGCTGCCACTGTAAGTATTCTGTTTTTAATTGTTGAAATGGTAGAAAGAGTATCCAAACACATGGCTGCTTGGCCTAACAGAGCTGCAGTGATGCAATACCTGTTGTTATAGATGGAAAAATTGATAAGATCTTTTTGTAAAGGGAAATCATGCCTCGCCAATCTACTAGAATTCTTTGATGGGGTCAACAAGCATGTGGAAAAGGGTGATCCAGTGGATATAGTATACTTAGATTTTCAGAAAGCCTTTGACAAGGTCCCTCCCCAAAGGCTCTTAAGTAAAGTAAGCTGTCATGGGATAAAAGGGAAGGTCCTCTCGTGGATCAATAACTGGTTAAAAGATAGGAAACAAAGGCTAGGAATAAATGGTCAGTTTTCAGAATGGAGAGAGGTAAATAGTGGTATCCCCCAGGGAACTGTACTGGAACCAGTACTGTTCAACATAATCATGGAATTCCATAATGATCTGGAAAAAGGGGTAAACGGTGAGGTGGCAAAATTTGCAGATGATACAAAACTACTTAAGATAGTTAAGTCAAAAGCAGACCGTAAAGAGTTACAAAGGGCTCTCACAAAACTGGGTGAATGGGCAAGAAAATGGCAGATGAAATTCAGTGTTGATAAATGCAAAGTAATGCACATTGGAAAACGTAATCCCAACTATACATATAAAATGAGGAGCTGTAAATTAGTTGTTGCCACTCAAGAAAGAGATCTTGAAGTCGTTGTGGATAGTTCTCTGAAAACATCTACTCAATGTGCAGCAGCAGTCAAAAAAGCTAACAGAATGTTGGGAATCATTAGGAAAGGTATAGATAATAAGACAGAACATGTCATATTGCTTCTATATAAATCCATAGTATGCCCACATCTTGAATACTGTGTGCAGTATTCACCCCATCTCAAAAAAAGATGAATTGGAAAAGGTACAGAAAAGGGCAACAAAATGATTGGGGGTATGGAACAGTTTCCATATGAGGAGAGATTAATAAGACTGGGACTTTACAGCTTGGAAAACATGACTAAGAGGGGATATGATCGAGGTCTATAAAGTCATGAGTGATGTCGAAAAAGTAAATAAGAAAGAGTTATTTACTCTTTTTTCCACAGGATGTTGTGAAGGCCAAGACTATAACAGGGTTCAAAAAAAGATCTAAATAAGTTCATGGAGCATAGGTCCATCAGTGTCTATTAGCCAGGATGGACAGGGATGGTGTCCCCAGCCTCTGTTTGCCAGAAGCTGAGAATGGGCAACAGGAGATGGATCACTGGATGATTACCTGTTCTGTTCATTCCCTCTGAAGCACCTGGGATTAGCCACTGTTGGAAGACAGGTTTCAGAGTGGTAGACGTGTTAATCTGTATCAGCAAAAACAACAAGGAGTACTTGTGGCACCTTAGAGACTAACACATTTATTTTGGCATAAACTAACTAAAAACTAATTTCCCCATGCTAATTTTCCCCTACTGTTACTCATACCTTCTTGTCAACTGTTTGAAATGGGCCACCCTGATTACCACTACAAAAGTGATTTTTCCTCTTGTTGATAATAGCCCACTTTAATTGAATTGTCTTGTTAGAATTGGTAAGGCAACCCCCATCTTTTCATGTACTATGTATATATATCTTCCTACTGTATTTTCCACTCCATGCATCTGATGAAGTGGGTTTTAGCCCACGAAAGCTTATGCCCAAATAAATTTGTTAGTCTCTAAGGTGCCACAAGTACTCCTCGTTGTTTTTGTCGGAAGACAGAATACTGGGCTAGATGGACCGTTGGTCAGACTCAGTATGACCTTTCTTATGTTCTTAAGATGTTTAATTGTTTTGGTAAACAGCCTTGAGCAATGTACCCCAATTGTGTTGGTAAACATTCCTAGTAGTAATATGACTGAATAGTCCTAGCATGGAAAACTATTTATGAAGGTTTTAAAAGTACCTTTAACCTGAATCACATGGGCTTTGGAATTGATAATATATCGCTTCCATGTGTCTGGAAGATGTATTCGAACTCTTGACAAGCACGTGCAAGCTATAGTGACCAGAAGTGTCTGTTTGCCATGCAGTCAAGTGTGTGTGTATAATATACACTTTGCCAAAGGTATGCATGCATATACAATATGGGGAAATGGAGTGAGGAAATTGTGCCCTTTTCTACAATTCATGCTTCTTCCTGCAACTAGTTTAAGGGTTCAGGGCTCTGATCCTGTTCTATGATATGCTAATATGAACCCCTGCACCCCTGTGAACACCTGGAGCCCTATTGATAACAATGGGACTCCACAGAGGCCAATGCTAGGAGGTTGCTTTGCAGAATTGAGGTCTTACATGGTATGGGCTAGATTCACGAGGGGAAGTTAGGTACCTAACTGCTATTTTAGGCACCTCCATTCAACATTTAGGTGCCACTGACATTCACAACCCCCCGTTCATGTCCACCGAACCCTGTAGGTGCCTAAAGTCCCTAGGCACCTAAGATTCCACCTTAAAGTTCCCTAGCTGCCTACATGTCTGCTGATGGGCATACATAAAGCCACCTAAGTCCTGATGCCACAGAGCAGCTTTGTGCCTAACTACCCCTAGGCCCTGGCAGGATTCACAAACTAGGCATTTCCCCAGCCTATCTCGCTTGTGGAGCCAAATCCGGTTGGCGTATAGAGAGGCCACCTAAAAGCACCTTACCTTACCAGGCCCTGCACAAAATGTGTTGAAGTGGTACCCCCTCCTGCCTTATATACTCAATAGCCCAGTAGTTAGAGCACTCATCCAAGATATGGAGCATGGGAGTTCAAATCCCTCCTCCTCCTCCTGATTTTAGACCAGGGTCTTGAACCCAGGTCTTCCACCTCTCAGGTGAGTGCCCCAACCCTGAGTAGCCACTAGTCAGAGGGTATTTTGGGATAGGTCTGTCTCTCCTTTCTGAAGCTCTTTCACATTGCATGAAATGTGTAGGGCTTGTCTATACAGAGAGTTAGTGCGTGGCAAACCGAGGTGTAAATCTATGAGCGTTCTGGTGTGCTGTGCGCAAACTGGTCATGTGGACCTTGTGGCTGCATACTAAAAATTCCATAGTGTATTTTGACCTACTGATGTGCCAACTAGGCAGAAGGGTGCCGAAAAGTTAGGGGTTGCAAAGTTCAGTATTGAAGCGCCAGTGTGTCTGTTTTTGAAGTTTCGCCAACCTGAGTTATCTTTCTCGTGGCCATTGTCAGCTTAAATTGCATCCAGTAGTTTAAGCAGAAATTCCTCAATTATACTAGTCTTCTTTTTAGGTGAATCTGAACAGATGGAAATGCAGTCGGGTGGTAGATTTGTAATAAAACTCCAACTGTATAGTTAGCCTCATAGGCGACTGTAGTGTATTGCAAGTAGTTTATGTGATCAACAAAGAAATATCTGTTGTTTTAAATAATTTCACTAGATGACTACTTACATTGATGAGATACATTAGCTGCGTGGTTACCAATTGGCCCATAGAAAACTACTTCTCCCTCCCCTCCCCTCGACTCTTCAATTAAATGAACTGTCTCTTGAATTTAAATTAATTCCTTCTAATGTTTGGAAGGCATATGTACTAAACATGGTAGATTTTATCATTGTGGTTCAAATGTATCAAGTAAGAATTCTGTGAATGTGTTGTTCCATTTATGAATATTTCTGCATTTACAAGTAATACATTTACATTTATCAAATAGTGTTCGGTCATCATGCAAGTGCATAGCTTATGTAAGAGAGATAAGATGGGTGAGGGTAATAGCTTTTATTGGATCAACTTCTATTGGTGAAAGAAACAAGCTTTTGAGCTCACACAGAGCTTGAAAGCTTGTCTCTTTTCCCAGCAGAAGTTGATCCAATAAAATATATTACCCTCACCCACCTTGTCTCTCTAATATCCTGGCACCAACATAGCTACAATACAACAAATAGCCTATGTAATGTATTTAAACAATAGCTTGCCATCCTTTTCTCCCTAAGGTCATTTTAATCAGCCCTTCCTGTAGAAAATTGCCATTATTTTAAAATATATCCCTTTGGGATATTCATAGGAGTCTAAAGAAATTGTTTCCCAACTCCCATAGCCTTCTTTTTGAAAATCCCAGCCTTATTTTTTAAAAATGATCACCACAAATGGCCAGTGTAGATGAAGTACTTATTATTTGTAAGACTCTGATTCCTGCTTGAGACATAATGGCATTTTAACTAAACACTTCTTTATGCACCTCTTATTGATGGAACTTATTTGAAAGTACCATGTGATTATTAGTAATCATGGCATCACTTTTTGACAGTGCCCTTGCCTTGGAAAGCCATGTGTCAGAAGTGGTATGAATATAGTTTTTCTAGTTGTGCAATTTGTACAGGCCGCATCCTTATTTATTAGGTGACAACCTCACAAGTGTAAAACATGCCCTTGTGATCATGAGGTTTCATTTTTGCAATTCACTTCTGCGTAGGGGTCCAAAGAGAGTTCTTCACACACACACACGTACCCCTCGCAATTAGTTCAGTATTCAACTGCATATTTCCTCACTGGCTTGTGAAACTCTAATCAAATTAAGTGTTTACCCTGTAAATTTTTTTATACTGACTCCTGTTTTGTGGTAGATTGACTTTAAATTGACACTGTTGGTTTTTAATATCCTCAATGATGTAGGCCCTGGCTAATTCCAGCGGACACCGCGTAACCTTTCAGGGGTCCCTTATTCTTATTTGTGCTCTGATGTTCTGTAAAAATTGGAACTTGTTTCCCACTGAAGTCCATCTTGGTCCATCCTTTCACATACTTAAACTTAATTTTTTTCCCCAAAGATGCCACTACTGCTGCTATATTTATAAGCGTCTACCAACCTGTCTTGAACCCTCCCTTCCAATGTGTTTTTCCATATACTTTGGTATTGGATTAGTCATATATAGATATAAAGCTCTGAACATGGTTAATATGTTTGTGCTACTGTATGGTACCTCGGTGGGGATACTCTCTATAAATACTGTCAATCATGATAGGCAAGAACTTTAATTCCTTTTTTTTTGGCTCGGGAGTGCCATCCACTGCTTTTGTAAGATCTTTTGAAAAACATGTATGGGGGAGAAAGGGGTTGCTAATCGAATTATATAGCATTAAAGACATGGCATTATAATACTTTAACACCTTATTTTAAATAGGTGAAGGCATTTCTTCAGCCTCCAATGGAGGGCATTGTACTTGAAACTTACGGAACTGGTAATGCACCAAATAATCGAGAAGATTTGCTAGACGAACTGAAGAAAGCAACAGAACGAAAAGTAGTGATTCTGAATTGTACCCAGTGCTTACGCGGGAGTGTTGCTGCAGTCTATGCAACTGGACAGGTGAGAGAAATACAGCAATTTCTGATGGCAACGTTATGTAAAAGAAATGTTTCACTTATGTGATTCGCTGTATATTTAATATGCTAGAAAACAAACATCTAGCTACAGGAAGATGTTGTCTATAAAACAACCATATTCAATTAGCTTTTAAATGGTTCAAGCTGATCTGCAAACAAGGTTTAAAAAAAGCCCTTTATTTTAGTCTGAATTTTGTAATTAGCTAGATCTCATCCCAATTTACTGATTGTTGGCTTCCACTGTATGTGTGACACCCCAGCATCCATCTGCAAAATACTGTTGATGTCAATCCCAAAAGAACTCCAGTGAGTGTGGTCAGACATGTCAAGTAATACCTTTTCAGGTTTGCAGTTACTTTAATAGTTATAAAATAAGGGCATTCAGTAAGGTGGCAAACTCTGAAATATTCTAAACATCATCACTTACTTGATCCTCAAGACTCCCATTAGGCTATCTGCATGTGTCAATGAGTTCATCAGTACAGTATGTACTGGGATGTCCCTCTGAATGGAGGCCAGTAGTCTGTGACTTCTGGAGATCTGAAAGCAGGTGTAGGCTAGTTTAAAGCAAATTTATATGCAGATACTGACACTCTTGGTATTCAGGGTATTCATCATATTTTAATAGAGTTTCCGTAATCTTGTTTGCAATTCACAACCTTTTTGGTTAGTCAAAATATTGGTAGGACTCATGAGCCTCACAGACCCCACCAGTGTTCATAACCTGTGTGAGAATTCTGAATTGTGGGAGGAAAGTTCATTTGTCTTGCTTAACTTTCCTTCTATTCCCTAGCCTACGCCTGCTTTCAGATCTCCATTGACCATTCAATGACTAACCTTTTTATAGTATGCCTTGTGTTTATAAATATCACTTCTTTCTACAGTAGGACTGAACTATTATTGTTTCTTATACATGAAATATTTTGGCACAGCTTTATTTATTTTTTGTTTCAAAAACTTTCTTATAACCTAATATATAACTGAGGAAAAAAGGAAACGTAAATTGTGACATTACCCAGGGTACAATCTGGACTGTTGAACAGCTGTGTCCCCTCAATTCTCCAAATGGGGTTTTACACCAGCCTTTTACACTGCTTCACTGTGAGAGCAACCACTCCTGGTCTGCTCTCTCACAGCCTCCAGCATGTAAATTACTCCCAGCTATACTATATGAGTGCTATAGCCAGCCACTCTTGAATTACACTGTAGAGCAATACCAGCAAACTCCCAGTCCCCAGAAATGTGCATCTTGGATTGCCTAGCCCTCTCCTGGACAACACAAGCTCATATAAAGCCCGTAATTTTATTAATAGAAAATGATATGCTTAAATCCTGTTATCTCAAATGAAGTGTCCCAAACACTTCAATCCAAGCACACCAGTTTAGATAAAACAATAAAACAAGTTTAACAACTGCAGAAAGATAGATTTTACATGATTACAAGTAATGAGGCATAAAAGTCAGAATTGGTTACAAGGGGAAAAAAAGTAAAATGCATCTAATACCTAACTTAACAAGCTAAGTGAATTCAAAGCAAAAGTCTCTCTCGCCACATGTGTCAGCAGGATCCGCTCAGTCCAAAGCTGTTTCTTTGTTGCTCAGGTGTAGTGTCTGCTGTGGGTAGAGAGAAATAAGGAAGGAATAACTTGGGGTGTCTATTCTCCATTCTTACACTTTTCCTCTTCTTTGAGAGTCATCTCCAACTGGAGTTCAGGAGACAGAAAGTCTGTGGGGATGGGAATCTCCAGCTGTTTCTTTGCAAAGATGTAAATATCTCGCTCACATCCTTTTTCCTGCCAAAGAATGGCCACTTAACTAGGCGATAATTCATTTGATTTCATTGATATCTGGCTAAGGTGTCAGTTTGCCTTTTGTCTCCGAGGAACTGGTTTGTGGCTGCTTTTTCAAACTCAGAACATGCCTCAGTAATGTCATTAGAGTAGAATGTTATAACTTTACATATGATGTTGCCACACATATTTTACAAGGACAATAATGATTAGTAAATTATGAGTTTTCAAATAATACCTCACAAGGCATACTTTGTACAAAATTTATCATAGTCTTGTAAATGGGGTGAACATAGGGGTACAGACTGTCACAAATGTCAAAAGAGCAGGCGTCACAAGATTTGAACTTGAGACCTTCTGAAACATAAGGTCAGACCTTTTACTGAGTAGGCTATAAAGTTTTGGGCTAATATAAATGGGGAATTTAGAGGGATTACTTTGACCATCATGGAGCTCCCATACATGTTGGTTAATGTAAAATATATGAAGAATGAAAAAAGCAATAAATAAACAACTGAATGTAAAAATTTAAACAATGTAAAGTTTGTTCACTAAATAATCCCAAGATACCTGAAACTGCAAAATTTCATGAGAACAAAATCTAATTTACTATATGACATTCTGCTTCAACAAAAATGTAGCAATTTCCCCCCTATATTTTGGCTGAAAAATTCTCCATAAGTAGAGCACCTCTGAAAATGACTTCTTGTGTTTGATCCAAAGTGCTGTTTTCCTAATTTAATCTTATTAAACCTTTACAGGGTTATTTAGTCACTTTCAGTCACTTGTTAATTCCTGGGCCCCAGCTTTTCAGCTTTGTATTATGTGGCTTCACCAACTTCCACTGATGGAGGCTAAACCCTATTTATATTGGTATCTGTACAGGAGAACATTGCCAACGTGGACAGAGCCATGGAGTGTTCTGGCTGAATTCTACAGAATTTATTTAATAGTGGTTTTTCACTGCCCTTCCCTTTTCAAGAGTAACAGCTCTGTGGAGGAAACATGTTGGCTGAGTTCTGGAAATTTACTATAATATTAGTTTGTTTCAAAAAAGATTGTATTAAATTTTTTATGTTTTAAAAAAGTAAATAACATTTTGTGTAGCTGGTAATAACATGTTACCTTCACTACATGTGGCTTTATCCTGTCATTTGTACATATTTTAGCTAGTCAAGTGATTTAGTGATTAAATAATCATGGTTCATCTCAAACTCTTTTAATTACGGTAACTGAATATCTGGGCTCTGATCCACCTCCTCAGAACAGATTATAATTGAGGGGTCTATGGCCTGGTCCACACTACTCCCCCACTTCGGACTAAGGTACGCAAATTCAGCTACGTTAATAACGTAGCTGAATTCGAAGTACCTTAGTCCAAACTTACCGCGGGTCCAGACGCGGCAGGAAGGCTCCCCCATCGATGCCGCGTACTCCTCTCGGCGAGCTGGAGTACCGGTGTCGACGGCGAGCACTTCCGGGATCAATCCGGGATCGATTTATCGCGTCTAAACCAGACGCGATAAATCGATCCCAGAACACCGATTGCCTGCCGCCGGACCCTCCGGTAAGTGTAGACGTACCCTATGTGGTGATAGGAAGTGGGGGAAATCACTTCCCCTCCTATCCAGCCCCTGAAAAACCCTGTTCTTTGGCTGAAAACACTGTAACTTTCCAGCACAGAAGGAAGTTTTAAATGGTATATGAAGATCTTAAGGAAACCTCCTTTGTCTTCACTCCATGGTTGGTATGCTCTGTAAATGTACATACTGAAGATAGGTCAATTTGGTTCTCCTTTTGCATTGGTTCACTCATTAGTTAATTGCTGAATTGTATAGGGGAAGCAATCTGTCTATAGCAAGCACTATTTGTTTTTTGCCAGAACTGTAATTATGCAGTCTAGTCTCATATCCTAAATCATACACAGGTAATGCAGCTTAGAATGGTCTGACAACACCCGTATTGGTAGCACACTGCAGTACTGGAATTCATCCAGGGTAATACCCCATCATAAATTGGTCAATATGTTTGTGGGAAAATAACATATTTGGCAATTTTAAAACCACACTGATTTTAAAAGCTAGTAACTGCAGCTTTATAATGAGGGCTAACCTAACAACTGTTTATGTAGCTAATACACACCCATAACCTTTTCCTTTTAGGATTAAAAAAAATGGTCATTCTGGGTCTCTAGTAATCCCATATGCATCAATACTGTATAGAAGTGTTTCTGAATACTACACTAATTAAGTCAAAGTTTCTTTTCATTCACAGACTCTCACTTCTGTAGGAGTAATTCCAGGGGGTGATATGACACCAGAAGCAGCCCTAGCTAAACTCTCATACACACTGAGCAAAAGCCATCTTAGCTGGGAGGAGAAGAAGGAGGTAAATATTTCACTGTTAGTTTAGTAGACTTTTAATAGTGGTTGGTTTTTAAAATCTAATTTTTTAATATTTACTACACTGACTTCTGTCAAGTAAAATTATTTGAGTTTTTATGTTAATTTATGAGCATTCGCTTCCACTATCTAATGTGAATACCTCACACCCAGGGCCGGCTCCAGGCACCAGGCACCCAAGCTGGTGCTTGGGGCGGCACCTGGAGGGGGGCGGCGCGGCGGCCGCCGGGGAGAGCGGGGCCACAGCAGGGCTCGCCGCCCTCCCCCGGCGCTCTGGCCGCCCTCCCCCCCGGCGCCCTGCCCCCGGCGCTATAGCCGCCGGGGTGGGGGGAGAGCCGAGCCCCAGCCGGGGCTCGCCGCCCTCCTCCCAGGGCTCCGGCCGTGCCCCCCCCCCCCTGGGGCGGTGAAAAAGCCAGAGCCGGCCCTGCTCACACCCTCCTATTTTATGCAAAATAATGTCGTTGTAGAACTATGAAAATAGGTAGATTTGAGGGGGAAGAAAATCCTCAGACCTCTGCATAGAGGTAAGCTGAAAACCAACACCGATATTTAAAACTACTGCTTTTAAATTCAGCAGTGGATCTGTCCTGCAACTTCAGCACAGACTCCAAATAAATAATGTGCAAACTGAAACAGGACGGAGGTGAAATCCTGGCTCCATTGTCAATGAAAATTTTGTCACTGATTTCAGTGGAGCCTGGATTTCACCCAGGGTTTATATTTAAGTCTTCATGTAGCAACTGGTGCATCTTATTATTCTTGTCACTTTATTTGAAGTCTGTGAGTCTTGAGTGTCAATGTTAGATGTAATTTTGTTAAGATGAAAAGATTTGAAATGAGTATGTTCTTTAAACACAGACCATTTCTCTGCGTCCCTGACTTTCAAGTGTTTATTAATGGACTATATATTTATAATTACTTGTTAATGACAGATTTGTTTTGGTTAATTAATGTCTTAGGTGTTGGGAAATAGATAGAGTTAATACAACACATACAAATATATTGCCCTCTGTTAAACATTCTCTTTGCGGTGGCAGAATGCTAGCACACATATACACTAAAACTTCTGTTTTTATATGCAGCAAAGTCATAGTCCTGATGGAGTAAAGTTGTTATCCTGATTTTTGGATGATATCAACATGAGTCATTCTCTAGATTTAACCTATCAAACTAATGATTTCCCCTTCCGTTGGATGTGCTAGGTAAAAAAAAACAAAACTGATCAGTTGTGAAAAAAAATCTATTTCCAAGTCAATACCTTCAAATAATGGCTGTAAAAAAGAAAATCCTATAGAATACTTATCAATGGGGATGGAGGTTGGTGGATTTTCCTTTCTTTAGAGCTTTAAATTTAAATAGTCTTATAAACTTTGTAAGAGATATACTAGCTGTCTGAATATGAAATTTTAATATTTTTAGAACTATCTTACCACTTTCTACTTTAGTAGTTTCTTATATTTTAAACATTTTCTGTGTGTGTAACTTAACAAAATCTTTGTCCTGGAAAGGAGGAGGTCTCTTTTCTGTGGAAGGAGCAACTGTGCACAACATACTTTATGCAGGAACACATTCCACAAAGGGTGTAGTAGAGAATATGGTTATAGGTATAGCACTGCCAAAGAAGCAGTGGTAGTCCATATGTGACCCCACAGCAATGAACGTATAATTTCTACTTTGCCTTTTTAAAAAACGTATTTTTTTAACGAAAGCTCTTCAATAGTATATTTTAGCAGGCGGACCTATCTGAATTTATGTCAGCCTGTCAAATCTGGAAATTTCCATGCACCAAATCAGTACATAACTTCCACTGATATACATGTAATGGGACTCTTCCAGCAGACAGTTACAATATTGTAAGTGTTTAGGAGTGTTTTTTTTATAAAGGGCATGCCTAGACACAGGTAAATCTGGGGCACTCTTTCTTCCCACATCACACCTTGCTTTCTGGCAAACTTGCACAGTCCTGCTTCTTAAAATTCTAATTGAGACAAAAAGAACAAGGAGTACTTGGGACACCTTAGAGACTAACAAATTTATTTGGACATAAGCTTTTGTGGGCTAAAACCCACTTCATCAGATGCATGCAAGAAGGTGTGAGTAACAGTAGGGGGAAATTAGCATGGGGAAATAGTTTTTACTTTGTGTAATGACCCATCCACTGGAGAAACTGCAGAACTGGAATTAATTTGCAAACTGGACACCATTAAATTAGGCTTGAATAAGGACTGGGAGTTGTCAACTATTTGAAATGGTCCATCCTGACTATCACTACAAAAGTTTTTTTTCTCCTGCTGGTAATAGTCCACTTTAATTGATTAGTCTCATTAGAGTTGGTATGGCAACACCCATTTTTTCATGTTCTCTGTGTATATGTATATATATATTCCTACTGTATTTTCCACTGCATGCATCTAATGAAGTGGGCTTTAGCCCACGAAAGCTTATGGCCAAATAAATTTGTTAGTCTCTAAGGTGCCACAAGTACTCCTCGTTCTTTTTGCTGATACAGGCTAACACGGCTACCACTCTGAAACCTGTCACCAAGCAAGGTAATTGAGGCAACTTACTGTTAATAGTTGTGGAGGCATCTTGACGAGAGAAAGCCAGCATATAAAATCATCAACGTTGGAGAAACCAGTGGATTTGTTAATGTTCATGATGTTCAGATTTGTTCCCTCTTTCCTCCAGCTTTTATGAAATCTTATTTCTAGATTTAAGAGTGTCTCTATTTAGGGGTGCTGGAAGAATTTGTATCATGGGGGTGCTGAGAGCCATTTAAGCATTCTGTAAACCCTGTGTATAATGGAGTCCACTTCAAGCCAGGGGATGCGGCAGCACCCCTAGTTTCAGCATCTGTGTGTCTGTTCTTCTCCAGTCTTGTTTCAGAGGCTGCTTCTGAGCAGGGAGTCTCTCACTGATCCTTAATCCTGGTTAGTGCTAAGGCCCTCATCCTGAATACATGTTTAATGTTGAAACACTGAAATCAATGGGGCTACACACATGCTTAAAGTTAAGCATGTGCCTAAGGGTTTACAGAATCAGGGCCAAAGGGCCTGATTCAAAGCCTATTAAAATCGATATGAACCTTTCCATTGACGTCATTGGGCTTTTGATTGAGCGATAAGTGTACAGTCAGTGCAGGGCATACTAGTTAAACATTGCCTTGCTTTGTTACTCTAAAACACCGGACAAAGGCAGGATCTCAGAAGGCCCAGTGCTTTTCCTAAAGTCACCACTGATCTCCTAGTTTTATTTTCTCATTCAGTGTTTTAACTTACTGTTAGTTTAAATAGGATGCTACTTACCATGCTGGGAAATCTTGACTACTTAAACCAAACCGTTCTCGCACCCCCCCCCCCCCAAACAACTGCTCCGCCTTCTGGATTTTCGAGTATGTTCTGACATTTCTCTATCTTTTAGGTTATAAACTCTTTGGAATTATAACTGTTTTTACCTTTGTGTCTTCTCCAGTGCCACTTCCACTGTGCTAAGCAAATAAATAATAGCCTATAGAAAATATTAAGTAATTTCAACTGTGTTCTTATTCTATGGGGCAAGACTAATTTTTACAGTAAATTGCACTCATTTGCATTTTCTGTAACTTTCTAGCTTAGGCTAATAAAAATTAACAGCATCAACCCTTTTTTCTCTTGCTTTTTACAATGATTTGTTTGTTTGCCCATTTTTCAGATGCTGAGTGAGAATCTGAGAGGAGAAATGACTGTAGTACCCACAGGAGCCAAGATCTCTCTTACAGATAGCAAGTTTATTCAAGTTATTGCCAAATCTCTAAGTGTCAGCTGCAAGGAGGTACCTACTTTAAATATTTAAAGTGAACTCATGTACAGCAGAAAATTATAGATTCATAGATTCTAGGACTGGAAGGGACCTCGAGAGGTCATCGAGTCCAGTCCCCTGCCCGCATCCTGCAAATACTTGTTTAACTTAAACAAGTATATCTTAAAGGTGAAATACAGTGCAACGTTGAAAACAAAACACAGATTTCCTTGCTAAGTGTCCCAACTAACCAGGCCATGGGGGGGCATTTGGTACAACAATAAGTTAAACCTTGAATTTGTTTTCTATGTCTGTAAAATTCTCTTGATTACTTCTTGGTTCACTGATGATCTATGCTATCACAAATACTACATGGATCATTGTCATGCATGGTACTTATGATGTGAAAGAAAATACTAAATTATTTTGAATATTCTACATATTTTGACAGTATGGAACAATTCAAGCATAGAGGGACAATACTGGAATACACAAAATTATAAATGACTAGTACTATGAGAGGCATTCTGCGTGTAGCTGTTAATGCGGAGTTAATATTAGTCAATGTTGATTGCACAACAAATGTTCTATGGAGAACATTGCAAGACATAATTATTATGGTCTTCTCTTGGCTTGTTTTCAGGGAAGGTTTAATTGAATACCTACTCTAGAGTGCATGGGGGTAGGAGAGAAGGAAAAAGGGTGAGGGACTGGGGTCACATGGAGTGAGTTAAACATAAAAGAAGTTGAAGACTAGGTTTAGAAGGTTATACGCTCTCCTGCTCATTGAACTCATGGAATTGGGATCATTCTGCGGTTGAGAGTTTTAAAACAAACAAACAACCCCCCACTTATAGCACAGACAGTGTGTTCCAGATTTTCTGGGGTCATTCTATTAGTGTCAGCAGAACTTGTTGCTGCTGTTCCTTGAATTGTGGGTCACTAAGCTCTTTATCATGCTTTATGAGACAAGATCTCACTAATGACCCATTGGGGAGGCTTGGAATGACCCCAAATAAGACTCCAGGGCTTGTGTAAATACAGTTTTTGTACTGCTTTAACTTTATCATTTAAAACTATATAGTTAAATCAGTACAAACCTCTATTGTGGACACAATTATACCAGTATAAAGGTGCCTTATAGTGGTATAGCTTATAACTGTCTATGGTAGGGGGTTGTACAAACTTAACTATTTTGGTAAAAAAAAAAAATCACACAACTACTCAAAATAATTAATTTGGTACAAAAACTGTGCGTGGATCAGGTCTAAGGAAGGGTACAAAGCAAAGCCATTGGACTCTTTGGCTCTTTTCATCTTTATGAAGTTGGTGTCTCCTAATAGTGTCTCTTCATAGTCCTATCAGAGATGAATCAGAGCCTTATCGGCCACACTCATTCTAACATATGGGTGAGAGTGAAGTAGGAATGGTATGAAACTTACAGAGTTGAGGTACATATCAAAAATATTTTTATCTCTCTCTCAGCTTTACGTAATACACAGGAAGATCACAAGTATCTTCATGCTGCATTTTTTGTTGGCTTTTGTGAATCATAGATTCAACTTGTGCTCCCAGAGGCTGAGATCTGAGAGAATTTTGATAGAAAAGCACTAGTCCTGTGCTGTACTTCTGGGAGATGCTGCATTTTGCTCCTATTTTGATTATAGGACTGGAGCTGAGACAGCATCTTTGTTAATCTGCAGGTGAAATGGGTGAATCTGAAGACATTCGGAAATAGCTTGCTGGTTCTGTTTGACCTGGATAACAGCTGGTAGGCTGATAAATGCTTTATTGTGGAACAGCAACACAATTTCTAATCTTACGCACCTCAGGTCAATAAATAAATCTTTGATGCAGTTGGACTGGATCAACACAGAGGTCTGTAAGGGGAGAATACATGTATTGTTTGCTTTTGGTAAACCCTGACTCAGGTGGTCCAAGCAGACGGAAGGCAGACAAGGAGCTTAAGGACCCAAAAGCCTGGTCCACCCGGGCTAAATGTAGCCTCAGGACTTGAAGCGGAAAGTTGACCATGTTAACCCAATGCATGTGGGTGAAGGTATCTACCTGTAAGCCATGCCACTGAGCACAGTAGTACAATGCCAGGTTAAAATTAGGAAATAGGGAGAGCCCTAAGAGACAACAATGTGTTCCAGTACATATAAGGGTCTAGCACAGAGGTTCTCAAACTGGGGGTCAGGACCCCTTAGGGGGTTGCGAGGTTATTGCATGGGGGGTTGCAAGCTGTCAACCTCCACCCCAAATCCTGCTTTGCCTCCAGCATTTATAATGGTGTTAAATATATAAAAAAGTGTTTTTAATTTTTAAGGGGGGTCGAATTCAGAGGCTTGCTATGTGAAAGGGGTCACCAGTACCAAAGTTTGAGAGCCACTGATCTAGCATAATGTGTGTTAATGTTGAAGGCCTGGGTGGCTGCCTACGGAGTGCTGAGTGCACCAGAAGTTTATTGATGCTCAACCCTTCTTGCGAGGAGAGTTGGGCAATGTTTTTTACAACACATTGTTTTTTTGCTGAAAACTGCATTTGGGGGGGGGCCTGAAACTATTTGCCAAATTCAGGTCAAAGATCATGAATACTTTCGGTTGGAAAAAACAGCCTTTTAATTTCAAATGTGACCAATAAAAAAGGTGAAGAACAGCCATATCAAAACAAAAAACTCGAGAGGGGAAAAAAAGAACAAAAAGCAACATTTGTTTTGAGTCGACCAAAACGTTTTGGTTGCTACAAAATGATTGTTTTGTTTTTGATTAGAAGAAAAAATGTTTTGGTATGAATCGAACCAGATTTTTTATCGGATTTTTTTTTTTCAGTTTGGCCCCTATACCAAAAACATTCATTATTTACGCAGCTCAAATAGTGAGTAAGTAACATACGTTAGTAACGTAGATCTAATTTTTGGAGTTTATGCAGCATATTCTTCCACTATGAAAAGCATTTCCAAGCAGAATGAAAAAAAAAAAAAAAAAAACCGCAGAGCAAAAACAAGTGTTGCTGTCCTCGGTTCTAAACATCAGTAGAAACTTCTCAGCATAGTATATATTAGCAAATGGTGTTATATGTATACTTTAAATGAAGTTCAATATTGTTCTCATGGTATGTTTATTGGCTTAAAATCTCAAAAATGGCCAGTGATTCTTGGATTGTTCCTATGTTTAGGTGCCCCATTTGATACACCTTATAGGGGTCTTACTTTCAAAGCCTGGGTGATCTTTTGAAACTCAGACCCCTTTTTAAATTGCCTCAGGTTGGGTTCCCAAAAATGGAGACACCCATAGTTGTTAGTCCCTTTTGAAAATTAAGGCCTTGATCTCTTTAATGAGCATGAATTTTCTATGAGCCTTATGATGGTGGATCCATGATATGTCCATCATATTTATATATTTTACTCTTCAGTCTGACCAGCTACCACAAAAAGACAAAATATTGTAAATTTGTATGTGAATCAATCAGAGCAGGTCTCAAAATTTAAGAATCTTTAACAAATGTGGTTCAAAAAAGTCACACCTTATTGATATTAGGACATGCCATATTTTGCAGGATCCTATTTAGCTATGAGGTTTGTGAATACTGAAAAAGGTTGTTTACTAAATAGCTGTTAGAATCAGCATGGTCAGACTAGGACTCAGAAGTATCCTAACTCCATATTGACTTCAGGAAACTGATATCTGTAGTTAGTAAGGAAGTGGTAAGTTTGGTAATAATACAGTTTTCAGTCATTTAATTTATTATCTTGATCACTTCTTTATTATATTGATTTTTATATGAAGTGGGAGATTGTTTTAAAATTAATTATCAAACTTCAAAGATGACTCCTTAGAGGCTTTTTCATTGCCACTTGCACTAGAAGAACCGACATGCTCATTGTTCAGGAAAATAGACGTTTTAAAATACGCTATTTCAGTTGCATATTGTTTATTGACCAAACCAGAAATGGTTTCCAAAAAACTAATATTGGGTTGAGATGAGCACATATTGATAATAGGATGGAGTTTTGCTGTGTAGAATTCATGTGTAGACACAGGGATGTCATTTGGGGGATCTGAAAAAAACTGTAATTAGCATGTGCATCTGAAATAGCATAGTTCAGAAATCCTCTTAATTTAATTCCAGTGTAACTAGGAAGTGAGAGAAGTCCAAGTAACTATGGAAACAGGGTTTTATGAACTTCGGGGAGAGTATACATGTGACTTCTTTTCCCTCAAAGAATGTGAACAAGATTGTTTTTACTAACTGGTATCCTCAATTATTATATTTGGTTACTCTCCAAGTAAACATGGGTGCAATATTGTTCTTCTGATGTAGATATCAGTAGTTCTAAGGACACAAATGGTAAATAAAAAGATATGTATGATACTAAAACTTTTAAATTTTATTTTTTGTTTCCCAGGAGCTGGAAGCCATTAGAGATGCATTAATTCCTTCTTTGGCCTGTGCCGCAGCTAAAATAGGTGACACAGATGCACTAAAAGCCATAGGAGAAATGGTAAAAAATTAAACTTTTTACAAATCTTTTATTTATAGCTTAATACAAAATGCATTTGTAAGAAACTGGAAGCAAGCAATATGTCTGTGTAATAGAGTATGGAAGTAACACACAAAAAAATCTACATTTTTAAGTTGCACTTTCACAACAAAGAGATTGCACTACAGTACTTGTATGAGGTGAATTGAAAAATACTATTTCTTTTGTTTATCATTTTTACAGTGCAAATATTTGTAATAAACAATACACACTACACACTTTGATTTCAATTACAACACAGAATACTATATGAAAATGTAGAAAAACATCCAAAATATTTAATAAATTTCAATTGGTATTCTATTGTTTAATAGTGCGATTAAAACTGCGATTAATTTTTTTAATCATGATTAATTTTTTTGAGTTAATCGCATGAGTTAACTGCGATTAATTGACAGCCCTAGCAATAATTCTTTCCTTGCTGTTTTTAAATATGTAGGTTCTTTCTGGTTGTATTTAATATATGTATGCATATTTATGTGTGTGTCTGTATAAGTGGTGCACATTCTTAGATTTGAATATTCATTCTTTATGACATGTGGTCAGGCATCTGGTAGGTATGGTCAGGCATCGTGGTAGGTGTGCTGTGGCATCTGGACCTGTACTTTTCCATCCACAGACTGTTCAAAGTATTGGAACTGGAGAATTCACCAAATAATTTCTTGATGTGGTAGAGTATTTTTAGCCACTTGTGAAGGTTCCAGAGCTGAAGGAGGTGCCAAGGATGGTCTTGATATACAAAACTACTGTTTGTTACATCCATAGGTCTATGCATCTCAAAGTATACATGTTTACCCGTGACTACTGGACACCATTATGGACTTGACTAACCAATTAGTTTCACATAAGCTTTTGAGAAACTGTCGCATGTTTAATGATTTTTGGTCATTGGATTCAAACTGTAATGTTGGAGTAGGTATCATTATGTGACTGAGCCCCTGAACCAACCAGCCTCCAGTGTACTATCACTACCTCTTTCCTTAGGTGTTGATGTGTTTATGTTGTAGGGTGGAAACTTGAGCTGTGAAGATTATGATGGTCGAACTCCACTTCATATTGCATCAAGTGAAGGAAATTTACAACTAGTTGAGTATTTACTGAAGTATGGAACAACTGTTTATGCTAAAGACATGTTTGGTGCTACCCCACTGAAGTATGCAGTCAAATTCAGGTATTAAAAAAATACATTTTACACACAGATCTATGAGAGAGCTAACCCCATCTCATTTCAAATTTACATCGCTTTCAATTAGTGGGTTTTGGTCAGCAATCTGCAGTGATCAATTCTGTGACAGCAAATTCTGTAGTTTTAAAGGATGTGTAAATGGGTTGGATGCTTAGGACATTGTAGCTGAAGAAAACAGCCTTGCTGATGCCAAATCCCAGAGCTAAGTAAGTCAAGATTGTTTTTTTTTTTTTATCCCTACCCCCTACTCCAGGGCTCCATTATTTGTGGTGAGATTTCTTTATAAAAGAAAAATTTGACTTATTGTTAATTTTGTTTTTGCAGAAGGGAGAGTTCAGGAACTAGAGCAATAGGGGAGGGGGGGCTGTCTCTTTGTACCTTCCCTTCCTCGTCAGGAACGGAGAGTTTTAAAATAAAACAGGCTACTCCAGTAGGCTGAAGGGTTTTGTAACCACCCTATCTTTCTGGGTGACCATTTCTCTGATTTCTCTCCCACATACTCTACACATTTATCAGCAGAGGCATGCACAATAAGCATGTGCTGGCTGTCTCCTTCAGTGATTCTCTCTCCGTGTTGGCAATGACACCAATAATCCTTGAAGTTGGTCTCCTACGTGGTGGTGGTCTGTGGGCCAGTCATTCTGCTGGTCTTTATCCTATTGTGTAGGTTCATAGTGCCACAATTTATCAGAATATAAAAAGATGTCAATCACTGTAGTTGAAATTAAGACTTGTAGTTTGGAGATTTACAACCTTATTGGTCCTCCCACCTATTTGAAGCTACAGATTGACTCTGTCTCTCACTTACCTTTGCTTTCCCTGTTTATTCATCCTATCCTTTAGGCCCTTATTATGTGTTTACAGTTTGTGAACACCATTTGTCTGTATTTTTGAGGGACAGTGCCCATTTTTTATTTAACAAAATATTTATCCTTTTTCACTCTGTGCCTCCAAAAGGTCCCTCAAGTCCAGTGCATGTCCTGGTCTTTCTCTCCAAATGTCTCTGTTATAGCTTTCAAATGTTGGCAGGTTCACCTGTCTGTGAGGGCTGGATCTGGCTCCCTGTGGAGTCTGACTGTTCTGTTTATGTAACAACTGAAGAAATCTCTGCAAAAGGATGTAAAGCTTTTCCCCTCTACAGGAGCTCGGAAGCTGGCTTAGCACTGATCCCAGTTTCTGCTAACCCAGGACTCTCAGAGCACAGGGTGGCTGCACACTGTGCTACTGCTAGACCATTGTGTGCCCCCTGCATCTTTATAGTTGTCACTGTCATTCTCTTATAACTATCCAAGCCTTTTTGATATAAGAAATATTTATAAAAGTTGTAACCCCCCCCCCACACACACACACCCCAAGAACCAACTAAAAGCAAATCAAACAAACTTGCAGTAGAACAGAGGTGCCCCTAGTCCAGTGTGAGAAAGAACTGCATCACTATTAGATGTTCCTGCAAATCAGATATCTGCATTTATTTTACCACACCCAACTACTGCCTAAGGAATTTCACATGAGTTTGTTGTTTGGATTCCTTTTCATTGCCACTCCTATATTCGACTCCTACTATGCCTCTTTAAACCTGTACACCCATTCTGAAATGGGGAGTGGTAAAAGGAAAATGAATCCTAACTATTTTTAGTTTTTGTTTGTTTGTGCCCTTATCAGAATGAGAGGAAAAGCAAAATAAATATGTCATTTTATTGTCTGTAAAAATAGCTTCAGGCCTGTACTGCTAAGATACTAAACTTTATACTGAAGCTGAAGTGGCTCTGGACATTAGAAATCTTGCAGAGCTAATTTACCTCTCATGTAGATGGGGGTGTATGGAATCAAATATGTGCTAAAAAGATGTGATTACTACAAAATATATTTGAATTGCATTCATAAAACAACTGCCTGTTGAAGGTGAAGAGAAACAATATTGATGTTAAACTTTTGCATTTTATATTAGGCAACAAAGGGAAATGCCTGTTTTAAAAAGTATTACTAATAAGTATTCTGTGCTTTATATCATGCTCAGAATTGCAAAATATAAAATTGTGCTTTTTAAAACAATCTAAGAAATTGCCTTAACTTCATAGACCTTTGCACTGATTGATTCCTTTTTCTGGAAATTAATATTTTGGTTGAATTGGAATATAATCACCGATTTATTCTGTATAGTGTCTACTCCTCTCAAAAGCTTTATTTTAATGTGTGTGTCACTTCTCTCAATGATTTGGGGTTTTTTAGCTAATCATGCAAATCAGAAAAATGACTGGTGATTTCTCTCTTCCCTTACCATTAGTATACATGGTCACAATTTGTGTTTCTGCCAAAAAGGATCTTAACAGAGCACTGTCAACCTGTAGGCAAACAAAATGGCCTATGTCAACAGTGGTGTCATGTTTAATCTCTTATAGCGTTCCTTAATTTTTAAAAAATTAACTTGATATTTTCATTGCTGTTAAAATTGGAGTTCTTTTAAAAGCCATAGTAATCTGTTGCATGTCCACCTTCTCTCCCATAATACATGTACTCATCCTCTTGATTACTGTGTATATACACATTCTCTTTATTATAGGGCACCTCATACAATATCTCACACCCAGGAGATAATGTAGGTCAGTTGTTTGGACCTATAAAAGTTAGCAACATCCCTTTGACTGCCATTTTCCCAGTGCCTTAATAGAGTGTTCATTTTCAAAACTGTAAAATAAATACTTTTATAAAATACACTTTTCTAAGCATGAAACAGATGTCTCAAATCAAAATTTCATATATTTTATTTATTATAACCTTTTCCTTATACTTTAAACTTAAGGACTAAAATGGCTGCAAAGAAAAAGTTGTATACAGTTTGTGTTGCACACTGCTGTGAGAACATCAGAGACTATTGTTGGTAAAGTCACTTCCCACATAAACATGCATTGTAATACTTGAAATCTGCAAGGTTATGGTTACATTATTTTAGCACCTCTGAAATAGAGGGAGAATCTACACCTCACTCTGACTCTTTAAAATCACATTGTAGTCTGTCTGATATTATACAATGCTTTGGAGTTTGAAATTCATAGTGGTTCAACATTGTGAAAGTTGAATGAGAAAAACTGAGCCAATCCTGTCATAGCCATCCTAGCTGCTAGAGAAGCAAGGATCAAAAAGAACGAAGCTAATCACATTTAAACGTACGTTATACCTGCATTTCTTTAAATGGCTGGTGGAAAGTGCAGCCCAAGGTCCTGAGCCTCTTACACGTGGGCTTAATTTTGTGCACTCACAGTACATAAACTGATGTTCAGAAGTCCTTGCAGTATCAGTGTCTTAGGGTATGTCTACACCCAGCCGCTAGTTCGGCGGCTGGCAATCGAAGTTCTGGGTTCGACTTATCGCGTCTTGTCTGGACGCGATAAGTCGAACCAGGAAGTGCTCACCGTCGACTGCGGTACTCCAGCTAGACGAGAGGAGTACCACGGAGTCGACGGGGGAGCCTGCCTGCCGCGTGTGGACCGAGGTAAGATCGAACTAAGGTACTTCGAACTTCAGCTACGTTATTCACGTAGCTGAAGTTGCGTACCTTAGTTCGATTTGGGGGGTGAGTGTAGACCAAGCCTTAGTTACTTTTCTAAGGATAATGAAAAAACTCTGATAACTCAGATTACTGCCTGTGGTGAATATTGACTTTTTAATGGCGACCATGGTATGTACCAGTTTTTAGGGATCCCAAAAGATTGAGGGCCAGATCATTCTTCTTGATTTTAGCTGTACAGGTGAAAAAAACCCATGCAAATGGCCAAAAATTTGTCAGAGGAAGGGAAATATGAGCCCAAGTAGCAGGAGATCATGTATGGCTTTTGGGGAACTACTCTCTCCTGTCAAATGTATGTGGGAAATACCCACACAACTTAATTCTGACCCTGTCAGCACAGATTCTCAACCTGCACCTTCACACCTCCACATGGAATGAGAAGCGTGGTTTTGTGGTTCAGACATGATTGTAATGCAAGGAGAGCCTGGTTCCTGAGTTGTGTTGTGTTACCAGTTAGAGTAAAGAGCCATGGGGACTAGCGGAGAAGGTCTGGCCTTCCTTAGGGGCCCTGAGATTGGAAGGATTTCTATATGGATCTAAGGTCATCTGTGGGGCAGGAGGGCTGTACCTCCTACCACCTCTAAAGATCTCCAGACTCCATCTACTAGACGAGGCGCTGTTGCAGTGGAAACAGTGGGCTCAAGACCATTGAGGTTTCCACTTACTTTCAGTTTAGTTTAAAAAAAGAAAGTCTTGCCAACACACACTTCTCTCCTCCTCCCACCCCTATGCACTCTGTTCAATATATTTATTTAATGCGGCCAAAAAATGCCACAATGGAGCAATGGTCTTTTTAGGAGTGTTAGAAATGCTGAATACTCCAGGACAGACCACTACCAAGGAAACAGATACAGACACTGTTTGCATGTACTCCTATACAAAATACAGTTTGTGAGTAAATGTAAAAGCTTTTCTGCTATAATCTGTTATCAGTTTCATTTTTCAAATGAGTACTAAACTGCTTGATATGTTGTGGTTAAATCATACTCTTATGAGTTGTATTATGTAAAGAAAAGTAAATACAGCACTAGTTCCTACTTGCTGTCTCCAGGAGACTCTTACTGACAGCCAGCCATGTCTCAAGGGACTCTTCTGATGAAATATTTAAGATAACTAGACCAACTTACAATATGTGCAGTTGCAGTAACTGATCATGCTTACTTTGCTGCAGAGAAACAAAGAAATTAAGATTTCAGTTTCACTCTGGGCAAAAAATTGGCCGCATGATTTAAATGCTAAAATTCCATTGAGCAATTGAAAGAATTTAATTTTTGAAAAGGCAAAATTTTAAAAACCTTGTCATAAAGTTGTTACCAGAATAGCTTATAAGGAAATGCGGATCTTGTATCAAATTTAAAATTTTATATTTTAATTGGGCTTCATCGTGATAAGCTTTAAAGTAACTTCTCATTGTCAAGATGAAGATTTCAGCACACAAGCTGTTTGACCTGCAGTCCAGTTTCAAAATAGGAAGGTATTATAATCTTCAAGAAGAATAACAAATGTAGAATAAACTGAACATACATTTGAACTTATTTTTGTATTTGTTGATGAATTAATATTGAGTGACTGGTTTGTTCCTAAGGTTTTGAATCCAGCCATAGATTGTTGATTTGGTTAATGAACAGCGTTGTACTTTTCACTTTAAAATGTTCCTATAGCCCCCTCCAAACAAAGTCACAATAGATGTGATTATACTTGAAATAGACATTCTGTAGCAGTTATGTTTTTGGTGTGGGTTAAATTCTGCCTTTGAGTTTGGGAATTAGGCAGCACAATAAATTAACATATTTTCTTCTCTTGAGACCTGGGTCCAAATCCCACAGGGCATTAGGCCAAGTTCTCCAACTATCATATTTTGGCTGATGGTTTTCCCACAACTTGATATAGTGCCTCTTTATTATTACCCTTTTGGGTAATAGATGGTCTATTGTCAAATTGTACATACATCCCACAGCATTGTAATCCAAACAACAAAGTTTTAAGGAGCCGTTGCAGTGGCCTCAGCAGAACTATTTCTGAGTTCTGTGGCTGAGGAAAGGGAGCCAGGCTGGTCATGTAGATCCTACCATACCTATCAGGCAGAAGAATGCACTCATGGGAGAGGGCCAGCTAAACCATACCATGGGTGGACTAGTAGGCCATGAAGAAGGCAGTATCCAGCTGGGAAGAAACTTAGCAGAGGGGTATTTTGTGGGAGATTCTCCCAAAGGTCAAATAAGAATCTAAATTTATGGGTGCTTATATCATCCATGAAGTCATAGGAACTTTGGCATCTCTCATTTTAACCCACAAGGTTTCATTGCTAACATTTAAAAACAACAGAAATCTTACCTAGGAGAGAATCAAAATGCCCGCCTAATCTATCCCTTTATGTGGAAAATGCACACAGAAATACTGTTACTCTGTGAATGCCTTGATTGTCTATCTGCATTTCAGTGCTTGAATTAACAAGAGCTAGAAATGGGGACAGTCAGGGGACAAATAAATATAGAGTCATATTTGAAAGGTATTTATGTTCCTTTCTCTTTGTTTTGGATTCAGTAATTGAGAATGTAGCATTTTTGTAAATTCAGTGTGCCAAGGTAGTTAAATGATGTAATAACCCTTTGCCTCTTCCTTGCCCTACATCAGTGCAGAGGAAACTGGGTGGGGTTTAATGGCCTGTGATGTGAAGGAGGTTAGAGATTATCTGTTGGTCTCTTTTCTCTTTAAACTCAGGCTCCTTGAATGGAGAACATACTCATCAGTCTCTCTCTTTTTTGGGGGGGGGGGAGGGAAAAATGGTGAGAATCAGTGTATAAAATCTGTGTTTATGGAATACTTGTTTTGATCTGTAGATGTTTTTTCTCCAGGATATTTAATTGTTAAAAATAACTCTTTTTATCAATTTTTTCATAAAGGCACATAGAAGTGATTCAGTTACTGCGTGAAACTGGAGCTCACCTTTCCAGCCAAGAGCTAGAGAACATAGGAACGGAACTTTGCAGGTAAAGATGACATAAGTTTAGATATTGCATTGTAGCATGGTCCAAGTGTCAGGAGCACAGCTAGCTCCCAGCCTGGTAGCTAGGCAACACAGGAAGCTCAGCTGGGCTCAATGAGCCTTCTCCAAATGTGTGTGTTCCTGATGGGGCAGGGGAGCCAGCAGCCTGCTACTTGATCCTTGCAACAGCAGTAGCACAGCAGCTGCTCAGCTCGTACCATGCCCACAGCTGTACCTGCCCTGCCTTGGCTTCCACTAATTGCTCCAACCCTTGTTCTGCCTTGACTCATGTCAGCTTCAGTCTAGTCCTTGCCTCCCTGCCCTTTTCTGACTCAGACTCTGATCTATGGCTCGGCTTCTTGATTGTGACTTTGGCTTACCCTTTGGCTTGGTGTTCCCAATTCTGATTCTGGTTCTGACCTTTTGGCTTGGCCCCTCAATCTTGACTCTGGCTTCATCCTCGGATTGGTACCTGACTCCTGGATCTATGCTCGCCATTACTCTGGACTGTCGCCACAACCACCAGTTAAGGTCCTGTTGCAACCACTAGGAAGGCCGCCCGTTCCCTGGCATCTTACACCAAGTCAGCTGTGCTAATATGCAGTAGTTACAGTTACATCATCATCATCCTGTTATCTCTGTTTTCAAGAGTAAATGATTGAGTTGTTAATATGCCCAGGATTTACTTTGAAATGGGAAACAAGCAGGGGTTTTATTATTGAAGCAAACCAATGTGGTTGGGTATAAATTACCTGAGTGATACAGTAATACATTAGTGCAAACTAGGGATCCACACGGGGGAGGGGGGGCACGACGGAGGAGAGGGTTACAGCACAGCACTTTGGTGTGCACTACAGTTCAAACCTCCATAGTCTGAGCTGTGGTAAAGTGTAGCAAGGCCCTACGTGAGGAATTCTTGGGTTGTAATCTTGATTCTGACACTGGGTTACTCTGTCTGTAAAATGGTGATTTTTGATAGTAACCTGTTTCAATGAGTGATGTGAGAATTGTTTCTCAAATCCTTTCAAGATGGAAAGCACTATATAAGTAATTATTATATATGCCAGGGACCATTGGGTTCCTGGCATATACTATTTTTGGGCTAGAATTAATAACTAAAATGCAAGTAAAGGGACAAAATTTACTATTGACTGTGTGACATACCTGAAGTACTATAGCAGAACTCCACAAGTGAAATGGAGAGCATTATGGAAAATGTGTAAATGGATTTGAAGCAAGTCTGTCCCTCTTCCTGATGCATTTTTATACATTTTTGTATTACTTTTGGGTTGTAGGGAACTTGTGTTCTTGGTGTCCAGATCTTGAGATTAGAGCACCAGGGACAATTTATACTGAAACAATGGAGTGGTTTTATTCAAAAAGAATAAATACCTGTACTATGGAGGAATAGCTTCAACCTTAACTGTAGAGCGAGAATAGCTTCTGTCTCAAGAAGAATAATAAGAAAATTTCATAAATATGGGTTCAGACCTGCAAATTGGTGGGAACTCTAGCCCCAGTTCACCATACCACTTAAGTACATGCTTAACATTAAGCAGATACATAGTTCCATTGAACTCAACACTTTCCATACACTGCTTTTCCATGCTAATTTTTCATTAATAAAAAATTGCAGTATTTCATCAACTTAAAAGAAAATCATATGGCTTATTTTCAGAGGTACTGGTGACTCGATCACCTGCAGTTCCCTCTGAAAATTGTATCAGTAGATTCTACAATTCTTAAAGTAACAGGCCTTTCCTTCTTTCTTCCTCATTCCCCCAACAATAAATTAAATCCTAGTCTCCTCACCCAGACAGAATACTGAGCAAAATACATTGTACCGTGTCTTCAAGGGCTACAGCTCTGCTACCCCCACAGAAGATATGGATTCCATAGTTGAGGGCCCTCTACTAATAACACCTTGCTACTAGCTGTTGGACATCTAAATATAGGGACTCTTAGGTGGAGTTACGACAATACACAGAAGAGAGACTCTCTGGCACATAGCCTGCACCCAAACCATATAGAGCTATACTACATATTTCCCAGAACATTGCAAGCGATGGAAACAATGGAAAGTCTTTTCAAATTAAGAGTTTGCTAACTCTGATCCATCTGTCAGAAGTATTAGGGGAGCGGCTCAGAAAATTACATTCTTTCACAAATAAATTGACCCCATACATAGCCCCTTCTGCCCTCTGCAGAACCTGTTTAACTGGCTAGCCTGATAGTAGTACTACAAAAATGAGAGCATGTAGCTTTAAACAAAAAGTGAATGTGATGCAATTTGTTGTAGTACATTCAGGGAACATTGTATACACTGGATCTGTATTGCGTGATCTCTTGTATTTTGAATGAAGTGGTAATGAACCCCCGAGGCTTTTGAAGCATTTTAAATTGGTTTGTAATGGTATTAAGCTAACAGAGGACAAAAAAAACCCATTTGTTTTAAAGATATCTACTGTGCAGAGAGTGGAATATACATATGTGGAGAGGAGAATGAGTGGGCTTTGTGCATGGAATGAGTGCATGGATTTCCTTATCTTGAGACTTTCCACCACACAAAATGAACAGAGCATGAACCAGCTCTTTCACAGCCACCCACCCACAGACAAGAATAGTGGCCTCACACCTATGGGGAACCTGGGACTACTGCATCAGTGTAAATCCTGCGGCCATGCTCCTTGCACTGGCCTACACAGAGCTGATGTGGAGTCCAGTTCCACAATGCACATGGTATTGAGAGAGACACTGAACTTTGACTTTTCAGCAGGGCACTTCTGCACAAGGGAACCACTTCACTTATACTGCTCTAGAAGGCCTTCGGTGTCCCTTTGCAGAGGGGTGAATTTCCTCCAGAGTGTATGAGCCAAAATGCTAAAGTGTTTGTAGTTAATATTGTCTTGTTGCAGATGTTCTGTCCTTCCAAGGTGTCAGGAATACTCACTTTGGGATATGACAGCTCTTAGATGATTTGAGCAAACTCAGTGATTTATTCTTCCATACTATTCAGTTTCACTTTATCCGCCACCCCTGCACCGTCTTCCTAGGGAGTTTTCTCATACTAGGCATTGGCATATTGGTGAGGTTGTTGCATGTGTTCAGCCTGGTTAGAGTTGCCTTTGGAACAAATAGATGTTTTACTAACTCCTCCTTCGGTCTAATTTAAGTGACCGGCACCATGGCAATATGCCCAGCCCCCAGGGTATGGAGAGCCAGAGCCTAAGTAGCATTCAAGGACTGGTCTAGCTAATTTTAGCATTGTGTCAGGAGCCATCTTGTATTGTTCTGTACCTGAATTAAGATCCAAAAGCCAGTTTTTCTCACTGCTTCTCTATTGTCAAAATAATTTGGCTTTATTCTGTATTCATTCATCTCCATGGCCAGAGCTTTTGCTGTTCTAACGCTAGCCCCATAATTTCCTTATCTTTAGACATAAAATGATTTAGGATTTAGAAACTGAAGTGTTCGGTTTAGTACATTTGGTCATCAGCTGATAACTGTAAAATGTCAGTTGGAATTCTTTCTAGAGCATCTAATTCTTTCTAGAGCATCTACTTGCAAACAAAACACTATCATGTTATCCAGTCTTTTAGCCGCCTCTTCTAAGGGTTAATTCATCCTGTTGTTTTTAGAAAGTCAGATGAGGAATTTGCATTTTTAAGATGTTTAGTTCTTCGATCTCACGTTTCCATTTTGTCGAGATGAGAACTAAGTTTTCTTACCAGTCATCCCTTGGAATCTTCCAAATCTGTTTTCCTACTGCAGGGGTATTGTTGTCTTTATGCAAAACAAAACTGTGACCACTCCAAGACATATAATGGTGACTCTCCAAATTTGTTCAGAAAGCTACTCCACTAGATTCAGTTTAGCCACAAATTTGATTTATACTACTGTTTTTTAGACTGTCTATTAAGTGAATGTCACCTGTTCTGAACAGTCTGTGCTCAACAAGGCTGAAGTAAGGGCAGGGGGGGAGCAAGCAAATGAATTCACTCACTCATATCCTCATATGTTAAAATATCAGTTCATGAAATCCAAGGATGCTCTTTTTCAAAAATGTTATCAGGATAACATACCTTTTTAAGTCTGATCACAGATGTTGGGATAAATTATAGTTCTGAAGGTACTGGGACCATGCTTCTAATACCTACTTGGTTAACTTTCTGAAGAAATAAAATATGAAGCAGGCTTTTATAATCTTAATCTCCCATCTCTCCTTGCAGTTATGAAACATGAACAAAAAGGCCTGGGGACACTGGATAATATGAACGGTATCCTTGAGTGCACTTCCTTGAAGGCTCTCTCCCAGATGTGGTGTAGACATACCCATGCGAGACATGCAGGAAGGTAGCTCTTCTGTTGTAAACTAGGGGAGTCCGTAGTAGCAGGACTTCTCTCTTGTGCTCCTTCCAAGGCATGCCAATGGCTCTCCTCTGGAGTGGTTCTCCTCTGTTGCCAACCTGTTAGGTGCAGAGGAGGCTTCTGGCTGTGAGTAGGAGGCCCTGCAAACCTCAGAAGGTACATAGCAGTGGAGTTCCTGTGATGCAGACCTAAGGAGATTTCCTTTTTGGCACCCCTCTGAAATTGGATTAAAGTTATTTAGAATCAACATAATGTCTGTGAGATGCAAGATGACCAAGCTACTTGCATTCTTCAAGCATATCAAACTGATTGACTCTTTTCAACTTAAAAATCTCATCTAGGTCTTTACCAAAACAATTCCTTTGAGGCAGTAAACCTCAAAGGATGCCCCCGGCCCTATTTAGCTTTCATATCCTGGAGGGAAAATGTAAATTGGCTGTGAATTAATCAACAGGATAGAGTAAAGGTCACATATAGTGACAGCAGTGAAAACAAATAATAAACATTTATCTCACTGGTTTTGCTCTTGGTTAGGATACAGTGGTACTAAATTATCTGTTTGTTCATTACCCATTTGAGCAATTGTGACTTGATAACCTGCCATTCTTAGTTTTTGTTGTTAAAGACTCCCATCTATGACGATGTCAGCAAATTTGGACAAATCCAGACACAAAAGCAAAAGATGTAGCAAAAGATGAATCTTCTGAAACAAATAAACTTTCACTTGTTGAGTAGCCACTGCTGTGAGCTACTCATTTCCCTATTTTTCTAATACTCCTGCTGTCTTGTGCAATTTATAAGGGCTCTTTCCTTTTAACTCAGTATTAAACTCCCCCCTTTGGTCTGTTGTCAGTGGGAAATAACCTTTTTGCAACAACATTGCTTTCCATTAGTGCTTCCTCAACATTTCGTCTCTTACCTATGCCGGCTTCCACTATTAAATTTCTCATACAAAACAAAGACGCTAACTCCTCTCCCAGCCAAAGGCACAGGCTTTGTCTTCTTCCCACCCTCTCAGGCTGCTGCAAGGAAAGACCGTGAAAAAGCTTTCTTCTCACCCACCCTCAGGCCGCTGCAGTTAGAGGTTTCCACTCCCCTTTACAGATTTTTTTAAGTACCTAAAAATAAGTATCAACAGTTGAGAAGTGGCTTCAGACTAGCAGGGAGTAACAAATTTTGCAGACTTGACTGCAGAATGACCCTTCTACAAGCTGTCCTGGCTGCCTGCAGCTGAGATCTCACATGCCTTTACTGCACTCCTTCCTCCTCCTCCCCCACCTCCAGCAGTCAAGTCTGCTCAGCCAGTCTACCACACTCAGGGGCCTTTCACCTTCCTCCTTACCCGTGGCCTGCGGTCCTCAGTACTCTTTTCCTTCAGAAAGAGAGCGACATTCAGGGCAGCAGGTCATATGCCACAGACTAAACAAACAGGCCTTTTTCATCCCTCACTTCAATGAGATCCAACCTCAGTGGAGAATCACCTGGCTGTTTCTGTTCAGATATTCATCAAGTATCAATATTAATGCTTAAAGGCCTTACAGCTCCAGAGCTAACATCCTCTTGAGATGCCTGGGGGTAGCCCCAGTCCTTAAAGCGTGTCAGGTCGCAGATCTGGGAAACAGCCTTTCTAAGAAGCCAGCTAAGTTGCTGAGGGGTACACATTTTTAGTGCGGCTGGGGAACCCCTCTGATTGGTTGCTTTCCCCAGGGCTGCTGCTACAAGCAGGCAGAGCTCTCCACTCCATCCCCAAGCAACCGGCACCATTCTCGCAGGGGATGGGGAGGAAGCAGAAAGAATCCAGCAGGCTCATGATGGCTCTGCTCCTCTGCTCCTTCCATCCCTGCATCCTGGGAAAGCAGAGAGGAGACCTCAGGGCAGCTCCCCAGGATTTTGGGGTGGGGTGAAACACCCCTAGAGCTGTAGGAGGAGCAGAGGTGAGGCTGAAAGGGGCAGAATTGATATGTGGATTGAGGGGCGGGATTGATTTGAGGTCAGAAATAATTGCTGGGGGGACAGGCAGATAGATGGCGGAGTGATGGTGAGACCCACCCACTTTTTTCAGACTACATGCTGTTCTATTGTTTCAGCCTGTCTGCAGGTGACATTGCATTGGGGCACATCCAGGTGTTTTTCACACCAGAGGAGCTAAAAACACTTTTTTTAAATGAAAGATTAAGTTCTGCAGATACTAGTGGGGCTGCCAGCAGGCCTGCAAGAAACTGCCTGTGGTGTTACACCACAGATTCAAAATCCACTCGTGTCTTGATTCACTTTGGAACGGTATAATGTTTGTCATCTAGAAATGGTGGGCATAGACCACCCTTAGCAGACTTTTTTTCTCACTGTGTGTAAAATGGCTGTTTATTGGCACTGAGTTTTATAAATTGTCCTTAATTTAAGATCCAAATACTGTAGCATCATTACAATTATCCAAATGGCACCACAGAAACATAATGCTGTCATAACCGCTGATAATGACTATTAACATTCATGCTAGAGGCAATATTGTATCAGATATGTTTATACAACTTTTGGAGTTTGTTTTTAAGTGCAATATTTTGGTAGCATGTCTGCTGTCACTCTCTGTATAGTAAAACTATTATTGAAAATGCAAAACTCTGCAACTCAAATGTGGGATAGCTCCCCCCCAGACCCCCTTAAACGCCATTTCACAGGATAAATATTGTGTTGTGAAATATGAAACTGCGTATCTTTTTTCCCCTTTAGTCATAGTCACACCCACTGGGTGAAACTAGCCTGTTGTAAGTTGCTTATAATACAGCCTTGTTAATTTAAGGAACTGATTCATCAAGCCGTGTTGCTGGCTCAGCTGTTCAAAGCTTTTGTAAACTTCTCCCTCCCTTACTTGCGCCCCCCCCCCCCCCTCCTGCCCGTCATGCCTAAGATTGTGTTTGGTTTAGTGTTCACATTAGTTTCTCTGATAGTTAAGAGAACACAGTATTACAGTGAGATGCCCTTACAGATTTAGAAAAAGTAAACTGTTCTTAATTGTTCTTTTTCCAGCCTCGCTGCTAATGGCGATGTGGAAGGGTTGTATGCCTGGTATCTAGCTGGTGCAAACCTGGAACAAACTGGGTATGATGGCAGAACTCCCTTACAAATAGTAAGTGTGACTATTGCTGTACTGCATGTGGAGCTCTGCTAAGCATGTGTGTTATGGCATATCTGTTCTGACATGTCAGATGGTATTAGGTTGGGCAAATTAAATGCCACTTTGGTTCCGACAATTTTGATTAAAAAAAAGTCTTTGCTTCAAATTAATGACACTTCCAGAACTCTTGTCAAGTAATAAGTCATTCAAAGCCATCATTCTCCCAACTCTCCACAAGTAATTAGACATTTCAGTCAGGCTTTAAGTAGTTTTGCATGCCTGTGTACATGCATACAAGCCATGGCAGTACTCTTTAAATTTCTGTTTACAGGCAGAGGCTACAGGGCATGTGGAGCTTCTAGACTTTCTTAGTCAACTGAAGATAAAGCAGGTAATGGTTATTTTAAAAGTTCTTGTTTGCTGAAATGAGCCTGGGTTGTCTTTTTTGTTGCCGTTGTTATTGTTGTAGGATGGTTTTGTAGTTAAGGCCCTGGACTGGGCTTGGAGAATTCTGAGTCCAGTTCCTGGTTCTGCCACAAACTTCTCTGTGACCTTGAGCAAGACCTTTAACCTCTCTGTGCCTCAGTTCCCCATTTATAAAATGGGGATATAATCTAAATAGACTGCCTTGTCTATTTAGATTATAAACTCTTTGGAGCAGGGACTGTGTCTACACAGGATCCATACAGCACCTAGTACTATCGGATCCTGAATTTCATCTAAGTGTTACTGTAATGGAAAAGAGAGAGAATTTACAAAGTAAAGAATGCATTAGTGAGTTTCTTCTCCGCAGGTCTGACAACCACTGGTACATCGATTTAAATTTACTTAAGTAAACCCAAATCAGGAATACTTCTAGTCAGAATCAAAACAGACAGACAAACTACAACCATGCAAATACTTCAGAGTTTACATATTTCATTCAAAAGGAAAATGTCGTGTTTTTGTAATGTGTGCAAATAGATTACGCTTATAGCAACCAAGAAAATACATTGAGTGAATTAAACATTCCCCAAAACACGTATCTTGATACTTAAACCGACAAGTTCCTTTCATGTAACTGTATGGATCTGTTTTCATTTGATGTAACTTAGGAGTCTTTGGGCAGAGGATGAGTTTAATTAGCTAAACAATCTAATAACAGCAAGAGGGAAAACAGCATCTTTGGGAAATACATATTGCGCCTTCACCAGAAACTTAAAAAACAGATTTCAGAGTGGTAGCCGTGTTAGTCTGGCAACTCCCATCTTTTCATGTACTGCTATATATATCTTCCTACTGTATTTTCCACTCCATGCATCTGATGAAGTGGGTTTTAGCCCACGAAAGCTTATGCCCAAATCAATGTGTTAGACTCTAAGGTGCCACAAGTCCTCCTTGTTGTTTTTAAAGAACAGAGTGACACTTCAGCTCTGGTTGCAACTGTTTTCTGGGGTATGTCTACACTGCAATTAAAAACTCGCGGCTGGCCTGTGCCAGCTGACTCGGGCTTGCATGGCTTGGGCTGTGGGGCTGTTTCATTGCAGTGTAGACTTCCAAACATTTCCACATCAAGATTAAAAGGCAAGATGGGCTCATTTGCCAGAGCAACAACTTGGGATCACTTCATATCATCCCACTCCTTTCTCATCTCATCCCTGGCATGTTTTGATGGCATATTCATCTGTCTTGTCTGTATTAGATTGTAAATTCCTCTGAGAAGCACCCTTGCCTCATATGGACACCTATGGCACTAGATAAATGATAACACACATTCTGGCTCACTGGCTTGAGGACAGACTGTATTGTAGTTAGCCAGCACTGAAACCAAGTGGCGCAGATCTTCAGCTAGACTGAATACACCAATGACAATTTAACCAGCAGAGCATTTGCCCCCGGCTATCCTAACTCAGGATTTTGTTCCTAATAATGTAATTTAGAAAATCTTAATTATAAAAAAAAAAAAAGAGAGAGAGAGACCTGACTAAGCACATGTTAGGAATTATTGACGATTGACAGTAGAAGACTTGAGTTTAAAAGGCCTCACAGATTCACCCTGCCATTGTAGATTCTGAATCAGGACAGTAGGAGAGATCAGGAATTTCAGAGATTATCTGAATTCTAAATTATTTACACTGAATGTCAAAATTAACAGTATTGACATATATCTTCTCCAGCTACAGTCAAATGAAACTGGGAGAACAGTCAACCAAATCTTAAATGATGCGTGAATGTTTGGAGAAGATTTACCACTCAGCTTGCCACTATAACTGGAGGAATTTCAAACACTTAGATTTTTTTTTCTCAAAATTCTACTCTGATGCAATCCTCTCACGTTGGAGATTAGATATCTCTTTTCCAGTGTACTGGAAAATCTAAGACATTGGAGAGGTTAAAAAAAAAAACCCTCAGGATGTTTAAACACTTTGGGCTGGATTCTCCACTGCTATGCACCTTGGGTAGTCATTTACACCTGTATAAAGTGGATGTAAAACGCTCCCATTGGTGTATGTGAGTGGGGAATTCTCATTGGTAGCATTCTATACCCACTACACGCTGATTTAGTGTTTCAGTAAAATTCAAAGATTTGTGGTGCCTTTACATTCACCTCAGTTGAAGTCAATATTTATTTTTAAATAAAATTTGATATCAGACTGAGAAGCATATCACTTTAAATCTGTAACTCTCATATGGGCCATCTCTTGATCTTTTTTTTTTTTTTTTTTTTTTTAATCTTCCTTATAGGAAAGACAATCTGAAGGCATTCCTGAGTGTTGGATTAGAGTTTACTCAGTAGGCTACAATGTAAGCTCTTCTTGGAAAGGCTTCAGGCAAATTTGAGTGGTCCACACTGCATGTCTTAAAAGCTAACTGTTTCGTTATATGATTTCTCCATAGGTTATGGAAAATGAACATTCCTGGAAAAAAAGCCAGTTTTGAACAATTAAACACTACTGGGCAATAATTTAAAAAAAAAAAAAAAAAAGAAGAAGAAGAATTAAAAAAGGAAGATGGAGATGATCGCAGATGTTACTAGAGTATATTGGGAACCTAGAATTAATTTAGAAATATATTTACTTTTTTCTTATCTTTTAAGATTATTTTCTTATGGCTGATATTTTAAATTTCTTTTAAAAAATGAAAACTTGTTACACTAGCATGTCACATCTCAGTTTAGGTCCTTTTTCAGTGCCAAGTGTCTGAGCATATAGCTAAACAAATGAGATTAGAATGTCATGATATAGTGTCTCTTACTCTATAAATATTTTATTTTTCTATAACTAGTATGCTGATTTTTTTATTTTCTATAATTGGGACACTGAGTTTTTAGCTAGTAAATCTATGGGGGAAATGCTGCATGCAACCGGCAGCATTTCTGTTATGTGAATTTATATTTGTGGGGGGGAATTCAAAGTTGATTATATATTCATGGATTTACATTAATAAAATCTCTGGAAATAAACGTTTGTTTCACTTCACTGGTTTTTTGCAATAGTTTAGATCGTGTCAGTAATAATAATTACAACAACTGTGTGTGTGTCAGCGCAAATAATTGCATCAATCAAGAGCATCCGCCTGCAGTTCTGTGCTAATATTCACCAATGTGTCACTTTAAACTACACTTTTTAAATGTATTATAAGGCTGACACCTTAAACACAGGGCTTGTTTGCACTGCGCCACAGTGCAGACTACAGGCTTCAGAATTGTGCGCCAAAATGTTGCTCACTGCTCTGTGTGGATGCTTCAGGTGTGTACTAAAAGGTACCCAGTTAACATTAACATGAACTATAGTAAGAGACACTTTGGTGCACTCTGCAATTCGAATCCCCATAGTTCACACTGTGGCACAGTGTAGACATAGCCACATTCATTGATGGGACTCTTTAACTGAACTGAGTTTCTGTAACAATGATTTTACCTACCTTCTGACCAGGACATAATCAGAATAGCTATGTTTGACATCAGATTGTATCTTGAGTGGCTAAAGAATTAATAGATTTCTGGTTAAAGCAATAATGCTTCAAGGTATGAAAGCCTAGAACTTGCAAATATAGAGAATACTTAAGGCAGATGCACAGACAGGGAATACAACTTTTGATTTACAACTATGATTTCTGATTTTATGTCTTCCTCAAACAAATGGCACCTTTGTTGAAGCACGGAGGAGTTCCTCCCCCTTTCCATAGCTACCCTTTCCATGCAGCCAATGCACCACTGATCCTTTCTGAGCCCTTTAGCATTGGAAGCCTTCCCAGGCCAAGTTACAGACCAAATTCCCCCAGGAATATGGAGTGAACACTATGCACGTGATTGGAGGAAACCCCGCTTTCTCTGCCAAACACAACTGTTCTCCTATGGAATATACTGTAGACATACGAGCCAATTTTCACACCTAGAAATACATGATCTTGTTTTATGCTAACATACATTTGGTGCATCCATTCACATTGGAGCATTCCTCTAGTCACAAAAAACATCTTAATGCATGTACAAAAATACTGTCTCTCATTACTACTATATCAGCCTAATCCAGTATGGGTATGATTGAACAGTATTGGTGTATTAGGAACTTCTCTTACTAAGCTAACATCTTGACCCATTGCATTAATAAAATTTATTAAATGGCTAGCATTACATAGCAAGTAAATTATAGCTCTCACATTAATATGGATCAAGCTAATAAAATCCAAAGATAATGATTAAATAAACTTCAAAAGGAACAATGTCAAGATGTTTTAGGCCACAATTTTAACATATCTTTGAACTGGTAAATTATAGGCGGATTTAACAATTTAAAAGCTATGTACATGTATTATCCTGATCATAGTGCATGAGAATAGCTTTATTTGTACAAGACCTAGACTGAGTGACATCTTAAGAATAATCCTGCAATGGTAAACTTTCTAAAAATTGCTACACTGGAACAGGAAATCCTTCACTAACAGTAATATGTCACTTGAAGATAAATTAAATTTGGGACTGAAATGGTGGAGTTTGGGGGGCGGGAAGAGCTTTAAACTGATTCTGGGAGACAAAATCAATTCATCCATGGCATCCATTCTTAGTGACACAGCAGAATTATTATTGCAATACACAGTATATAAGAGCACTTATTGAGAAACCCTCAAAGGACCGACATATACTGTGGATACCATTCTATCTTTAGAAAAGAAAATCAAAAAAGCATATATGCTAAAGTAGAAAAACTGGTGATCACGTCTTTAAAGTGTACAATACAGCATATCTTTCTATACCACACTTCCTGTACAAGCATCTTAAAGTGACTTAAAAAAAAGTACTAGCCTTCGGCATTAAAACTGGGAAAAAGGTAAGTTATTGACTTTTTCCTGCACATAAACCAGGTAGACAAATTCCGATTTTTAAAACACTTGAGGCCAAGTTTTCAGTCATAGCGTAAGTGAACTCTACTCCATTGAAATCAG